TACAGCTACAGCCGGGAGTGCCGATTGATCTTCTCCCGGTCGTTCAGCATGCCGACTGGGAGGCTCAGCCGCTTCTCCTTCACCGCAGCTTTGGTGGGACCGCGGCCAACAGCAAAACAACCAAAATCCAAACCCAACTGGCTGGCAGCTGGCGCCGCATGCCTGCAGAAATGAAGCTGTCGGCCCTGGGTGATCCAAATGCAAAGTGAAGCAGCAGCAGTGGCAGTGCAGCTGTTTGACCCACCACTTCGCCAATAGCGCACCAAACACAAAAGCAAAAAAACAGAAGAAAAAAAATAAAGCAACAAACAAACAAAGACATACAAAAAAAGCAGACAGGCAAGCAATCAAGCAAAACAAGGCAAACAAGCACGCAAGCTTGCAAAACAAAGCCAAAAATGCAAGCAAGCAAAACGAGGCAAGCAAAAGAATGCAAAAAGAAAGCAAGCAAGCAAGCAAGCAAGCAAGCAAGCAAGCAAGCAAGCAAGCAAGCAAGCAAGCAAGCAAGCAAGCAGGCAGGAGCGGGCAGGCAGGAGCGGGCAGGCAGGAGCGGGCAGGCAGGAGGGCAGGCAGGAGCGGGCAGGCAGGAGCGGGCAGGCAGGAGCGGGCAGGCAGGAGGCAGGCAGGCAGGCAGGCAGGCAGGCAGGCAGGCAGGCAGGCAGGCAGGCAGGCAGGCAGGCAGGCAGGCAGGCAGGCAGGCAGGCAGGCAGGCAGGCAGGCAGGCAGGCAGGCAGGCAGGCAGGCAGGCAGGCAGGCAGGCAGGCAGGCAGGCAAAGCAGAACAGGACAAATCATAGCAAAGCAGAGCAAAGCAGAGCAAAGCCGAGCAAAGCAGAGCAAAGCAAAGCAAAGCAGAGCAAAGCAGAACAAAGCAGAACAAAGCAGAGCAAAGCAGAACAAAAGAAAAGAAAGAAAAGTAAAACAAAGCAAGCAAAAACAAAGAATCACACGACCCAAACAACCAACCCAAAGACCCAACCAACAAACCACCCAACCAACCAACCAACCAACTAACAAAAAAACAACCCAAGCAAGCAAGCAAGCAAGCACGCAAGCAAAGCAAAGCAAAGCAAAGCCAAGCCAAGCCAAGCAAGCAAGCAAAGCAGCGGCAAACAAGCAAGCCAAACAACCAAAGATACGGATCGGCAGACAGACGGCAAACAATCAAACAAACGCAACAAACAAACAAACAAACAAACAAACAAACAAACGGGAAGCACCCGGCGGTCATCTTTTCTCACGAGTGGGTAACGCGTTCTGACCAAGTTGGCATAACATATGCCAACTGGCCAAGGCATAGCATGTGCCAAAACCCAGCATGGGCGCGCAACAACTACCCTCGCGTGCCGTAGGGCGGCAGCAAAACCTAGGGCAAAACCTTGGTACACTACACAAGGCAGGCAGGCAGGCAGGCAGGCAGGCAGGCAGACAAACAAAACCAAACAAAACAAGACTAGAAGGGTAGAGGTGCTTTTGTGTTACTAGGTCCGGTTTTTTACTAGGTCCGGTTTTCCGCAAAGCTGCCAACATCCCCTGGGGTTGCCTATTGGCTCTGATTGGGTGGCAGTCGGGAGTTGCTGGGGGCTGGCTTAAGTTGGGGGGGGGTTTTGGCTGTCGAGTTTAGGGTTGGTTTTGGGGTTGCCCCGGGGATGCGGCCAGCCAACCAACTAACCATCACCAAAAAAAAAAAAACACTACCTCCGACTAGAAGCAAACAAAACAAAGCAAAAAAAAAAAAGGACAGGCAGGCAGGCAGGCAGGCAGGCAGGCAGGCAGGCAGGCAGGCAGGCAGGCAGGCAGGCAGGCAGGCAGGCAGGCAGGCAGGCAGGCAGGCAGGCAGGCAGGCAGGGCAAAGCAGAACAGGACAAATCATAGCAAAGCAGAGCAAAGCAGAGCAAAGCCGAGCAAAGCAGAGCAAAGCAAAGCAAAGCAGAGCAAAGCAGAACAAAGCAGAACAAAGCAGAGCAAAGCAGAACAAAAGAAAAGAAAGAAAAGTAAAACAAAGCAAGCAAAAACAAAGAATCACACGACCCAAACAACCAACCCAAAGACCCAACCAACAAACCACCCAACCAACCAACCAACCAACCAACTAACAAAAAAACAACCCAAGCAAGCAAGCAAGCAAGCACGCAAGCAAAGCAAAGCAAAGCAAAGCCAAGCCAAGCCAAGCAAGCAAGCAAAGCAGCGGCAAACAAGCAAGCCAAACAACCAAAGATACGGATCGGCAGACAGACGGCAAACAATCAAACAAACGCAACAAACAAACAAACAAACAAACAAACAAACAAACGGGAAGCACCCGGCGGTCATCTTTTCTCACGAGTGGGTAACGCGTTCTGACCAAGTTGGCATAACATATGCCAACTGGCCAAGGCATAGCATGTGCCAAAACCCAGCATGGGCGCGCAACAACTACCCTCGCGTGCCGTAGGGCGGCAGCAAAACCTAGGGCAAAACCTTGGTACACTACACAAGGCAGGCAGGCAGGCAGGCAGGCAGGCAGGCAGACAAACAAAACCAAACAAAACAAGACTAGAAGGGTAGAGGTGCTTTTGTTTTACTAGGTCCGGTTTTTTACTAGGTCCGGTTTTCCGCAAAGCTGCCAACATCCCCTGGGGTTGCCTATTGGCTCTGATTGGGTGGCAGTCGGGAGTTGCTGGGGGCTGGCTTAAGTTGGGGGGGGGTTTTGGCTGTCGAGTTTAGGGTTGGTTTTGGGGTTGCCCCGGGGATGCGGCCAGCCAACCAACTAACCATCACCAAAAAAAAAAAAACACTACCTCCGACTAGAAGCAAACAAAACAAAGCAAAAAAAAAAAAAGGACAGGCAGGCAGGCACGCAGGCAGGCAGGCACGTAAATTAAGCAACCAAGCAAGCAACCAAACATACAGCCGCACACCCACACAAACAAGTAACAGACAAACACAACCACAAGGACAAATGACCACCCAAAAAAAGCACACACAAAAAAGCAAACAAAACAAAAGGAAGCAACACAGAGCAAAACTAAAAGATACACACTCCCCCCTGAGTCTTGTAACCCCAGGTCAAGCCATCCTCGTCGCCCTGCTCAAAAAACTCATCGAGCACGCGCCACGCCCACTTCTTGCAGATCTGGCCGGGGGGGGGGGGGTGCAGTTAGGCTGCAGCCCTGGACCAAACCCGTTCAGCTTTGCTAGTCTCAAGCCTCCCAACTCGCGGCTGTATCAAAACTTGTTAGCTGATGCCTTCTGTGATTTGGATTCTACTCCAAAGCTTCCTGGCCTAATTTTGGCGTCCCTTCGCTTGGATACCACATGGCTACCACATCGCCCCATCCACGAGGCCCTGGCCGGAAAGGGCTTCAAAGGGTTCGACACGTCCGCGAAGTGCAAGAAGAGCTCCAACCACTGCAGCGAGTTCTTTTGCATCACCTCGGGCAAAGGGCGGCTGGGCCGGACAGTGCCAGTGACACCTCTGAATTAATAAACAAAGGAATTCCAGACGCGCCTGTTCCAGGTACTGCGGCATGAAGTCAGCTGTCCGAGCTTGAGTGTCACAAAGGTCAGACGCCATTTCGTAGATCTGTGCGTACCAGCGGTGGGAAAAGACATGGAACCAGGGCAGGCAAGCATAGACCCGCACTGGGCAAGGTTTGGCTACTCCCATGCCACTACCCCACGGAGATGTGAGGTATACCACCGCCTTTGGTGGAGCAATCGCATTCCATACTCCATATTCCATATTCTATTTGTACCAGAAGCCACCTAGAAGGTAGGGCCAAGCGGCAACACTCGCTCTGCTAACTGAGCACCATAGGATCTCTTTCAGGCAGCATGCAAATGCGCAGCACAAAGCAGTGAACCGTGCATGGTAAGGGGTGGGATCCCGCAGTTCTGTTGTCGTGTCCCCATTCAGATCACCAACAATTCGAGTTGAGCAAAGACATGCAATGGTGACAGCCGGCTGCTTCGAGCCACTTGACATGCCACAGACTAACAGCGTCAGAAAATGTATCAGAAAATGATTCAATCATCACTGTGTCCATAAAGTTAGTCACGTTGCGTTGCCTTCCTTGGCCAGCCACAGGCCGGAACAGCACCCAACACCCAACAGCTAGGTGGAATCCTGCAATGGCAATTTGCCGTAAACGTTCTTCGGGCCTTGCTGATCTCGCGAACCATCTCGAAGTGGTTGACGTTGTCGGTGTGCAAAATCGCTGCGATGCAGACCCGCCTGACCGCGGCAAGACATTCTGTCATCAACTTCCTTCCCACCTTAAGTCTCAATACCAGCCAACTTGATGACTAAACTCTAAACTCGAAAGTTAAAAAGAAAAGCAACAAATTGCAAGAAATATAAATATGTAAACACATGAGCAAATGAAAAACACCATATATTTTGAATAGAAGAAACAAACAAACTATATATATACATGTATATATATATAGCATAAACTGTACATGCAGACAATTGATCCATTGTATTGCATATTTTAAACAATTCATACAATATGCAGATGGGCCGGTCCCTCCATCGATGGAGGTCCCACGAACAACAAACATGGGCACAACGAGACAGTTGAATAGGTTGCAGGTGTGTATCAGCTGCAAACTTGCCATCGCCTGGCTTGCTTCTTTGTTTCCTTGTCCATCTGCTTAAAGACATCTGTCTCCTCCTTTGCCGCTATCTCGAAGAGCTTCGCGCAGTGCATGTTCTCCAGCGGCGACCTGCGGGCACTAGAGATGCAACGCCGCAAGCAGCCTCATGAGGTGGGGATGGTTTCCTTTGAGCGCCCACTTCAAGTCCCGTCAAACCAGTCCCCTTCATAGCTCAAAGTGCTCTTGGACCCTCACTTGTCATTGTAGCGCAGCGCCAGGTCATCACACAGCTCCACCTCACGTTGCAGACTGGTGTGCGCCAAAACAAACCCACAGCCCGTGCACCCGCACCCCGCACCCCGCACCCCGGAACCTGCGAGCATTCCGTGCGATCGGATCAGGGCCCCAGCGAGGAAGGGG